AATAGTTGCCAATGTCGTGGATGTCTCCCTTCTTGTATAGTAGTACAGTCCTGCTGGGTTTCCATTGGGATGGAACCTTGCATTCAGACAGGTAGCGTGTGAAGAGCCGAACTAATGTATTGATGAGTACTGATGGTAAGTTCTTCAGGTGTTTTAATAACTTTAATAACTTTTTTAATAATAAAAACTTTAATAACAAGATTTAAAAGGCAGGCCTGTCAAGACAACAGGGGGGAAGTGGGGGAGGGGTGTAGCATCTGGAAATACTGGTGGAGGGATTTGGTGATGGAACACTGTATATCAAAAGCCCAACTATAAAGAACTTTGTGATTCCGGGTGCTTTAGCACTGTACTGTCCTCCTGTTGTTCATCGATTTGCTCGAGGGGGCCCTGTACCATCTCCATTTTGAGACTTGTTGGTACTGTGTTTGGCATATCGAATACATCATGATAGCCTGCCAAGCTTTGCCATGCGGGCGGGATACTCTCGGTGGCTTGCCCAGTTCTCCAAGAGGGGCGGAGTAACTGAACCCGGCTAGGTAGGGCCAGCTGTGTGCAAGGCAAATGCCCTATTGCTGTGCTAGCACTCCAGCCTCCAAATACCCCAAATCCTCCAAATCCTCTAAATCCTTTTCATGGCGTTAGTCCCTCACTTCCGTGAGGGAATTGAGGCACACCGCGCGAAACCGCAAGATGGTGCCAGGGGCTGAGCAAGGGCAGGACTAGCAGTATCAGATCCCGCCTGCCGAGCTATTTTACTTTTTGGGGTGGGGATATGGAGCCGGGGTCAGGGCCAGGGTGGAATTTAGGGAATCGGGTCTGCTAGCTGAGATTCTTCACTTCAGGGTCAGCAAGATGGGCTGGGGGCGGGGCAAAAGAGGGATTTACAGGATTGAATCCTGCTGGCCGAGATTCTGCTCTTTCTTGGGCGACAGGGTGGCGCCGGTGGGGCAAGGGTGGGACTTCCTGATAGGGCCAGATGGCCGTGATTTGGCACTTACAGGGGCGGAAAGATGGCGGTGGGGGCGGGGCAAGTGCGGGACTTAGGTGATCAGATTCCACCAGCCGAGATTCTTCACTTCCAGTATTGAAAAAAATTCCCTGGGGGCGGGGAAGGGCTGGGACTTCCAGGATCAGGGCCCACTGGCCAGGATTCAGCACTTCCAGGGATGGCAAGATGGCGCCAGGGGCCAGACAAGGGTGGGATTTCCGGGATCGGTAACCCCCAGCAGGGATGCTGCAATTTTGGGGAGATCAAGATGGCATCAAGACTTTATAAATTATGGTGCTCTAATAATTCTTTTTTTAAATACAACTACTTCTAGTCCATAGAAGTAAGATTTTTTTGTTGGGATTTTGGGATTATATTTGAGGCAGACATCTTATTATCTTATTTTTCCTTTAGAGAACCTGGCAGGCTACCAGAGGTATCCTGCCCACATGGCAGAGTCTGGCAAATTCCCCGTGTCATACCCAATATGCCAAATACCAGTAACAATGATGGGTCTCATTCTCCTAATCCTGAAAGAGCATTGAGATGGCTCTTTTAAAATTTCAGGACTAGGAAGAAGGAGACGTTACTGGTGCCTGCTCAAGGAAATCAACGAACAACAGGATGATCGTGATAGTGATTTGAGGCAGAATTGGATTGGACATGGAGTTAGGAAGCTTAATATCAACTTTTGGTAACTGGTGACTTCGACATAGGTATCTATCAGTTGTGTGTGGCAACTATCAATTATGTGTACCTATCATGTATATTTTATTCCTTTTTTAAAAAAATCGGATGATTTAGTAAAAGAATAATTTTAGGTATTTATAATGCTTAGGCAACAAATAAAATATATATATCTTGGAGAGCCTGGCAAGCTACCAAGAGTATTCCGCCCACACAGCAGAGCCTGGCAAGCTACCCATGGCATATTTGATATGCCAAAAATAGTAACAATAACAGGTCTTACTACCCTGACCCTGAAAGTGCCTCCAATTGTTGGGAAAGACAAGTAAGGAGAGGCTGCTAAAATCTCAGGGCTGGGACAAATGGAGACGTTACTGGTGCCTGCTCGAGTAAATCAATGAACAATGGGATGAGAGTGATGAGAGTGATATAGAACTACTTCATGGAAAAAAACTAGCACTAAAAAATGTTGTAGCCTCAGAGGACATAATTGATAGAAACAATAAAGTGAATTCAGTTGGATCGCAATACCTAGTATAAGTTTCACCTTTAAGGAGAATTGCCAAAAGCTGCTTCAGGTTTGATATAGTATCAATCCAGAATATAAATTCCATGCAAAGGACAAATGAACATAGGGTAGGATACAGCTGAGTAGATGTCTTGATCTGATGATGCCTATTTCCCTTGAATTCAGAGATCTTAGCAACCTACATGATGTTTTTTCCAGATGAAAGAAAACTAGAACTGTGGAGTCTCTCCTCAGATTCAACTCCATCACTCCATTCATAGAGGTGACATTCCATTGTGGATCTTCAGTACTCACAGAAGGCTAGTAAATAAGAGAATTCTTGTTCAATTTTTAAAATCACTATAAAATTTGGCCTACTTGAAATTTTCATTCTGTAGCACTAACCACGAAAGATTGAGTGGTAGGATAGAGATGAACTAAGGAGAGAGGGGTGAGGGCGGAGTTGTAGGCATTAACTCAACAGTCAGTCTATAGCAGTTCAGTAACAAGATCACATCATCTAGAAAAATTTGGCTAATGCTTGAATCTTAGTTAATAAATATCAGGTATTATATGTTTTAAAATTGTCAGGGGTTTTATACATCTGGCGAGGCTAACTGCCTAGTAAAACCTCAGGTGAAAGTATCTTGGGGAGTAAAACTTTGATAAACCATTGAGTTGGATATTCAAATAATTTTACAGAAAAGAATAGCAGAGGAAAAATATACACATATAGGATGGAAGCTACAAATTTTATCTCTGGAGAGAATAAAGGCTTAGAATTAAAAGAAATAATCAATAAAAATAAAATTAGTTCTCTTCAAAATTTGATAATATGAATTGTGGTTTACATGACTTATAGTGCCTTAAAAACATTCTACCCTATTTGTGACATTATCATTTTTAACCTTGAGAATTAGGCTGACCTTAAACTTGGTTCTTTGTTTTCTTCTCATTGACTTTTCAAGTTACTTTTATATTGGGTCTTATTAACCAAAGTCCACTCTGACATACCTAATTTATTGTTTCTAACAAGGTTAATCAAGAGTAAGTCCCAATCTGTCATTCTGACATACGATGCAAACATGCACAAAGATGTGCTCATTTCTTACAATAAATCAAATTGAAAACATTATATTTTATTTATCATTTTGTATCTTTGTTAAGTTACATTTGATTATCTTATGAATGCCCTTAGGTAATAAACATTTAGTGATAGAAAATGGAATATTAAACAATTCCATTCATATAGTACGGACTTATTTTGAGGATTAGGACTCTTCAATTATACTGTCCAATACTGTAGAAAAGCTTTCTCTTTGGATTGTTACTTTTTACTGGTAAGAACAGTATTGTGTAAATGTCATCTTAAAAATACACTGCATACATCAATGTCAAGACTGTATTATTTTTTCCATATGGAAGAGAATAAATCTCCTGAGTTACCTTCATTATGAATTCTCCAAGATGACTTGCAGCTGTCAGCATAGACCCCTTAAAACCTCTATACAACTGAGAATGAATAATTTGAAATACTTTTATTAGCAATAATACTTTGAAAACTTTCCTTGATTGCAACAAATGTTTTCTAAGGCATTCAAAAACTGAAAGCAGTATTAAATTTTCAGAATTAAATATATGTGTATGTGGTATGCATGTATGTGGTATTTAAAGAAAATGAAACACCAGGAATTACTACTTTAGCATTGAATGTGCTAGGAGATCGTTGTATTTTTCTATGCTCAAAGCAATATTTTGTTTACTCTCTCATTAATAAAAACATAATAGTGTGGCATATATGTGTGTTTGCAGATAGATAAATAGATATAGTTTGAGTATTTGATTTTTTTTAGGGGAGTCACACCTGGCAATGCTCAGGGCTTATTCCTGGCTCTGCACAGGTATTACTCTTGGCATTGCTCAGGGGACCCATATGTGCTGCTGGGGATTGAACCTGGGTTGGATATGTACAAGAAAAGTAATCTAACCACTGTGCTATCTCTCTCTGGCCCCTGAGTGTTTAGAATTTTTCTAAAATGTGAAATTTCAATGGTGAATATTTTTGAATTTTTATTTACTATAATTGGAAAGCTGTTATATCTGAACTTAAAATCAAAGTATATGGATCCACTAGGAAATTTTCTAATAATTAACTATTTTCTTGAGATGAGTCAAAGCACTTTAAGTAATTAATCTAACTTAACACACAAAGTCTATTGATATTCTATATAAATTAAATTCAAAAAAATTCCGTGATTAGTGGAAATTTCTGGTAGGGAGAATGGGGTGGTTATTATTTTTTTTTATTAGTGAAATACCATGAGGTACAGTTGTAGACTTACAATTTTTTGCCTTTATAAGAGGAAATTTTATTGTTAATTATTTAATAGTTTCAGAAGAGGAACATATTAGTTCAGTCCAACAAAATCTAGTGAAGCAAGTATTTTGATTGCGAAGGGTTTAATTTGGATGCTTTTAATACTTAGCCACCTAACACTTCAAACATAATCCAGAGCAAGTGTCGGTCTCCCCTTTAATTTGAATGTCCCACCTACCTCACTTCGAATGGAAACATCTTCATGGCCCCCAGAGGAAAGTGTTCCCGGGAGAGGGTAGCCATGAGGACAGCACAAAAAGAAAACTTGAAATAAAACTCTGTGTGATAATTTACTACTCTAAGGAAACAAAACCTTCCAATAATATATTAAAGAACTAAATCCAGTTACAAATGCACTAACAGGTGTCTGTCTGGGAGGTCCTGGCAGGAACGGAAACTGCCCAGCTATGTACGAGGGACACGAGGGGGGGGGGGGGCGTGGCCCAGCACGGCCCTCAGAAGCCGAAGGTGTTCTCCCTGCTGTAGGCTACGTACAAGAATCCGTCCTTGTGTTTCTCCTTCTCATAGAACTGTCCCATCATTAGGCTGGACTGTGGGACCGTCTTATCCACAAACAGGAAGATGGCTTTTTCCGATGGAAGCTGGATCCTTTTCCTGATGATCCACATGAACTGAGCCACAGTGATGTCAAATGGGATCAGATACTTCCATTTGTCCATGTCCACAATCTGAGAGCCTGACACCTTCTCCACAATCAACAGAACCCAGTCGGGGTACTTGGCTCGGATCTTGGCCAACTCCACGCATCTGTGTTCCAGTGAGTTGTCCTCCTTGAACATCCACTTCATGGCTGCGGCAGGGAAGAACACAACCGGCCTGGGGAGCCATGGAGCTCAGCACACTGACATCAAATACCCATCCCTCCACCAGTGCCAATTTTCTACCACCACTGATCCCAGTATCCCTCCCCCCGCCCTGTCCCCCTCATCCCACCCTGCCTCTGTGGCAGGGCATTTCCTTTTGTTCTCTCTCTCCTTTTGGGTGCTGTGGTTTGCAAAAGAGGCATTGAGTGGCAATCCTGTTCGGTCTATACTCTACTTTCAGCATGCATCTCCCATTCTGGGAGGATCCTCCCAACATCCTTTATTTGGTGCTCCCTTCTCTATCTGAGCTGCCTTTTCTGCTAGCGTGTGTGGCTGGCCTCCGAGACATGGAGTGAACCTCCTGGTACTTATCTCGGCTATTCTTGGGTGTGAGTCTCCTATTTTGTTTCTTTATGTTCCCCAGATGAATGCAATCTTTCTATGTCTGTCCCTCTCTTTCTGACTCATTTCGCTTAGTATGATACTTTCCATGTAGTACCACTTGTGTGTAAATTTCATGACTGCATCTTTTCTAACAGCTACATAGAACTCCATTGTGCAGATGTACCAAAGTTTCTTTAGCCAGTCATCTGTTCTCAGGCACTCAGGTTTTTTTTCCCAGATTCTGGCTATTGTAAACAGTGCTGCAATGAACAAACAAGTGCAGATGTCACTTCGACTATACATTTTTGCCTCTCTGGGATATATTCCCAGAAGTGGTATTGCTGGGTCTAATGGGAGCTCAATTTCTAATTTTTTGAGAATCAACCATACTGTTTACCAAAAGGGCTGAACCAGTTGATATTCCCACCAGCAGTGAAGGAGGGTTCCTTTCTCACCACATCTGTGCCAACACCAGTTGCTTTTGTTCTTTTGGATGTGGGCCAGTCTCTGTGGTGTGAGATGATATCCCATTGCTGTTTTGATCTGCATCTCCCTGATGATTAATGATGTAGAGCATTTTCTGATGTGACTTTTTGCCATTCGGATTTCTTCCTTGAGAAAGTTTCTGTTCATTTCGTCACCCCTTATTTTGATGGGGTTGGATGTTTTCTTCTTGTGGAGTTCAACCAGTACTTTGTATATCCTTGATATCAACCCCTTGTCGGATGTGTATTGGGCGAATATCCTTTCCCATTCTGTAGACTGTCTTTTTATTTTGGTCACCGTTTCTTTTGAGGTGCAGAAGCTTCTTAGTTTAAGATAGTTCCATTTGTCTATCTCTATTTTCACTTGCTTGGCCAGTGGCATGACATCTTTGAAGGTACCGTTAGCTTCAATGTCATGGAGGGTTTTGCCAACTTTGTCTTCAATGTACCTTATGGATTCCAGTCTGATGTTGAGGTCTTTAATCCATTTTGATCTTCTGTACATGGTGTTAGGCAGAGATCTGAGCCCAGTTTTTTGCATGTAGCTGTTCGGTTTTGCCAGCACAAATTGTTAAAGAGGCTTTCCTTGTTCCACTTCACAATTCTTGCTCCCTTGTCAAAGATTAGATGATCATATGTTTGGGGAGAGATGTCAGTATATTCAACCCTGTTCCATTGGTCTGCAGCTCTGCCTTTGTTCCAGTACCATGCTGTTTTAATTATTACTGCTTTGTAGTAGAGTTTGAAGTTAGGGAGGTTGATTCCTCCCATTTTCTTTTTCCCATGAATTGCTTTAGCAATTTGTGGGGGCTTATTGTTCCATATGAATTTCAGGAGTGATTGCTCCATATCTTTGAAGAATTTCATGGGGATCGCATTGAATTTGTACAATGTTTGGGAAGTATTGCCATTTTGACAATGTTAATTCTCCCGATCCATGAGCAGGGGATATCTTTCCATTTTCTTGTGTGCTGAAGTAGCATTTTGTAATTTTCTTTGTACAGATCCTTTACTTCCTTGGCTAAGCTGATTCCTAGGTACTTGATTTTCTAGAGCACAATTGTGAACAAGATTTTTTTTTTCATGTCATTTTCTTCTCTTTGATCTTGCTGCTTTCAGAATTTTGTCTCTATATAAGGTTTTGGTCATTTTGATCAGGATGTGTCTTGAGCTCCCCGTGGCATATTCGATATGCCAAACACAGTAACAAGTCTCACAATGGAGACGTTACTGGGCCCGCTCGAGCAAATCAATGAATAATGGGAAGACAGTGACAGTGACAGAGTCTTGCAGTGTTTTTATTCAGATTTCTTCTAACTAGTACCCTTCAGGCCTCCTGAATGTGGTCACATGTTTTCTTCAGCTCTTGGAAATGTTGTAGCAATGATGTCTTTGACAGTTTCTTCATCAGGATTTTCTTGCTGTTCCTCTGGGACTCCAGTAATTCTTATGTTACTCCTCTTGGCTTCATCACGATCTTCTCTTGCCATCTGTTTTCGAGCCTGGCAAGCTACCAAGAGTATCTCGCCTGCACGGCAGAGCCTAGCAAGCTACCTGTGACATATTTGATATGCCAAACACAGTAACAACAAGTCTCATGATGGAGATGTTGCTGGCCCGCTCGAGCAAATCAATGAACAACGGGAGGACCGTGACCGTGACCATGGCTCTTTTCCGGAGAGTGTCTGGACTTCATCTTGAAGCTCACTGATTCTGTCCTCAGCAGCTGTTACTCTGCTGCTGAGGCCTTCCACTGTGTTTTGCAATTCGACTACCAGGTTTTCAGGTCTGACATTTCCATTTGTAATTTTGTTTGCATTTTCCTCATTTCTACTTCAAATCCTCTTGTCTTTTATTGGCATTGCTTTTCATTGCTTCTTTTAGTTCCCTAAGCATCCTCATTAGCTCCCTTCTAAATTCCTTGTCAGAGAGGTTGTCCAGCACTTCCTTAACTGTTGGTGTCTTCTGGGCTAGCCTCTTCAATAAGTAATCTTGGTGGGCTTCTGCATTGCTTTACCACTGTGACCTGTGTGGTTTAGACCTTCACACTCACTGTTACTATTCTGCTTGAGATGCAGAATAAATTGAGATGGGCTTAATGAATTATGGACTAATGTGTTTCTGGTGGTTAAGCTAACCTAGTGAAAGTTTCATCTAAGAGGGTAACTTATGCCACCGCAACAATGGGAAGGGACCCTGCCGGCGGGAGGGTACCTGGATGAATGAGGAGAGGGTGCCCGGAACAGTTCAGCTTTGGTTTCACGCGGTGTGCCTCAATTCCCGTTCCCCACAGACCAAGGGTGAATACCAGCCATTCTCAGGGGATCTAGTTAGACGCACAGCCCTGGGAAGGGGCCCTGCCACCTGGCGGGTACCTGGATGAATGGTGGTGGTTATGTTTTTCACCAAGGATGTGAGTGCCACAGAAAGGGTATATTTGAATTTGTATCTAAACTTAATGTCATAGTCATTTTTTCAGGATTGTTGTATATCATCTCACCCGTGCCCACGCGTTTATTCGTATTTGTCAACCAATCTTTCTCAATTTCTGGTTTAGAAGGAGTGGTCACCACAGGCGTACAACCGCTAGGTAAAATTTGAGCTATTCTCTCTTCTACTGTAGCACATCTGGTTAATATGTAGCATACAAATTAGATAGCAAACACTCCCAAAGGGGCAACTGTGACAGAACAGACATATAAGGTCAAACACACATTTGATTCTTGGGTCATGAGCACATGCTGTGTGCTGGAGAGCAGAGAATCAGTCACTGCTGTAAGATAAGAACTTGGATCCAATCCAGCCTGGAGAGAACTAATAGGACTTCAACTATGCAGAGGGGTGAGAAAGATTTTAATCCAAGAGAATTTGTAAGGTAATGTCCAATCTGTGTTTTGATTTTTAAATAGGAAAGTTTTAGCAATGCATTTCAGAGTCACACAGTGAGACAGACACAGTGCTTTTGTCATTTTGAAAAATAGTCCTATTTACCAATGAACACAATTTCTAGGTAAACAAAGCCCACTTAAGATAAAGTTAATGAGGCATTTAGTGAAGAAGAGAGTATGTGAGAGTTACAAAGAGCTAGAAAAAAGATTTTTTATTCTTAGCATTGAGGATACACAGAGAAACATTTAATGTGGTAAGAATTAGCTTCCTAAGTGCCTTCCATTATCATTATGCCCTATTGTGCATGTATTCTCAGACACATATTGTATGTCATAAATTATTGGTGGAACAATACAAACTAATAAGACATAATGTACTTTGAAAATTATATTGAGAATCTATACACAGATCTTTGGAAAGTTGGTTCTACTCAAACATTAAATATATGCTGAAAATCTTACACTAAATGTTCATAGTTGTTAAGAAACTTTCAGTTTCTAAGATATTATGGCACATCTGTCGAAGGAAATTAATTGTCAGTAGATCTTCAACAGTAGCAATGCTTTATTTTTCAAAGCTTCTCCCTAAATTGAAGACCCATACTTTTGAGACAGTTATCATCTGAGAAAGTTTGAATCATTATTTAAGCATTTTATAATGGAATTTCACAAAGGAAATAGTAACTGCTTAGTGCACACATATAAAATTCTTTCAAACAAAAGATGTCCTGAAAACTGAAGGTGGTAAAACAGTTTCATGGTATTCTTTACTCTATAGCTTGTCTCAGTCTGAGCTGGCTGGATAGACTAATAAAAATAAACTTAACTGTTAGAAAAAATGACATAAAATCCTATGACTTTACAGTTTTCTTTTTCCAGCCATGGTCACTAACGCTGTGCATTGCTTGGCACACCATGCTCATTTTGGGATGGTGATAAAACAATGACTTTCAAAGTGTCATGAGATGGAGAAATAAATCACAAAAAATTAAAATATTAAGACTAAAATTTTTCCTTACATTTTAGAATAAGTGTATAATTGTTTATATCTTTTATTTATAGTTTTCACAAAGCTGGTAAACTATATCCATTTGCTTTTAATATGTCACAATAAATACTCCAATAATACTAATATGAAAGCAGTCTGTATTCAGACTGACAAAGAAAATTTGTACTGATTACATTTTCTGACCATGATTTAGTTACATTTTAAGGTAAAGGTAAAGGTAAAGGCCCTCCCGTTGATCGTCGATTTGCTCG